AGCCCAGTAGCCTGTCTGCCGACAGTGGCCAACACTAGGGACCCTGGAGGGGATGGACCGAAACAATGACCAAGCCATTTGTCTCGTGCCATCCATCTCCAGCCTTCCACAAACAGAGGCCAGGGACACCATTTCTACCCCCTGGCTAATACCACTCTATGGACCCAACCTCCATGACTTTATCTAACTTCTCTTTAAACTCTGTTATAGTTTAGCCTTCACAGTCTCCTGTGGCAAGGAGTTCCACAGGTTGACTATTTGCTTTGTGAAGAAGAACTTTCTGTTATTAGTTGCTGAAGCCGCACCCATTCATTTCATTTGGTGTCCTCTAGTCCTTCTATTATGGGAACTAATGAATAACTTTTCTTTATGCACCCTCTCCACACCACTCGTGCTTTTATAGACCTCTATCATATCCCCCCGTCTCCTCTTTTCTAAGCTGAAAAGTCCCAGTCTCTTTAGCCTCTCTTCATATGGGACCTGTTCCAAACCCCTGATCATTTTAGTTGCCCTCCCCTCTCCCACCTCCTTTTCCCAGTCTCCCCCAGTTTTGTTAAATAAAGAGAGTTTCTATTTTTGACCACACGTGTCCTTTATTTTTTACATCAGGAAGGGGGGCTAGGGAGAGGTAAGTAGAAGGATATGAGGGAGGAATGGGGTACGAGCCCCCGATGGGGAGGACTGGGATGGCTCTGCGGGCTCCTCGGGGTGGAAACTCTCCTGCAGCCCCCCGATTGACCCCTGCCCCTGGATGGCAGCCTGCGGCAAGTGCAGCCGGGCTGATGGCCGAGTGCTGTGATTGCTGAGTGTGGGCACTCCAAGCCAGGACTACTTTGCAAGCGGGGAACCCCTGAGAACCGTCTGTCCGGGGTGGGGGTCGGGTCCCTTTAAGCACAGCCCTCGGCTAGCCTAAGACAGCAGCTCTACGCTCTAAGTCCTAATCTGATGCCCTGCCGGCACTGCTTTCGGCCATCCTTAACCTCGGTTCAGGGTCCACTCAATGTGCATATGCTAGTTCGAATTAACAAAATGCTAATTCGAACTAGTTTTTAGGACTAGATGCACTAGTTCGAATTAACTAATTCGAATTAAGTTAGTTCGAATTAGTGCTGTAGTGTAGACATACCCACACGTTTGCAAAAATCTGAGCCTATTTGTATACATTACAAGTAATATTTGCTGCTAAGATACATATAATTTGCCCCAAATGTATGATTAACATTTTTAAATGTTAAGGAGAGATTTTCCGGGAAACTAACTGCCTTCTGTACTTACTGAAGTCACCCCATTAGTTCTGGACTTTTGTAAAATCCCTTCTCGCTATGAAGCTTTCCCATAAACATTGGTTCCTAACATATTTACTCAACTTTTAAGTTGTGCAGAACATGTATGCTACAGAAAAGCAGTTCTCAAACTTTTTGGCTCGTGGCCCACCCTGCTCAATGCAAACCTTTCCATGAACCACCAATTCATAATGGAAACTTGCCATTAATTACACAATTAGGCCCGAACCATTTTGCTAGTGCTGCAGCTAGGGAGAATGGTTTAATTTAACCAGTAGGAAAAGAAATATTATTTGAAATTATTAAACAGATTAAGAGCTTCAGCTTTAACTTTCTCATGTTTATCAAACTCATCTAGCATTCCCATCTAGGGGGAAAGGGGCAGGGAGGACTGAAGTTTAGGGCTTCCCATAGGCCAGATTTACTCTTCTGGAGTTAGTGGACTTTGTGCCCCACCCAAAGCTCTGGGGTAGGGACAATAATGAGGGGTTCAGTGTGCAGGGCAGGGCTGCCAGTGAGAGGGATAGGGGTGCAGGATCTGGACGGGAGGTGGGTGAAGGTCGGTTGGGAGGTGGGACGCATGAGCAGGCTTGGAGTACAGTGTCTGGCGGGGGCGGGGGGGGGGGGGGGGGGCGGG